ATTTTGTTTTATTGTTTTTAAGCAGTATATGTACAAAATAGCTTGAGACAAAAAAATTTCACTAATTAAAAAAATAGTGAAATTTTACATAATTTTTAGGAACGAAAGGAATAAGGAATATATCGTTTTTCAGTTTTCTCGTTTAGTCACATGTGATAGTTATGATAGATAATAAGCTACAGAAAAGTTGATGCAGTGATATGTTATTAATCCAAAATGGTTACATGAATTCTGGAAAAGGAGGGAAATTTTATTAATAATAAGTTTGAGGGCCGGGCGCGGTGGCTCACACCTGTAATCCCAGCACTTTGGGAGGCCAAGGCAGGTGGATCACGAGGTCAAGAGATCGAGACCATCCTGGTCAACATGGTGAAACCCCGTCTCTACTAAAAATACAAAAAACTAGCTGGGCATGGTGGCGCGTGCCTGTAATCCCAGCTACTCAGGAGGCTGAGGCAGGAGAATTGCCTGAACCCAGGAGGCGGAGGTTGCGGTGAGCGAGATCGCGCCATTGCACTCCAGCCTGGGTAACGAGCGAAACTCCGTCTCAAAAATAATAATAATAATAATAATAATAAGTTTGATAATGGCATTGTTACCTCTTAACACACCGGTATGCACTTTAAGGCCATCTGAGTTGTTAGTGTTGCAGAATTTTGCTCCTTAGGTCAGGTAAATCTGGGTTCTTGTGTCAGGACCAGGAAAATTTAGGCACTCAGACACATTGAATTGTGTGGGGAATGGAATTTATTGGGCAAAAAGGAAAAATAAAATTTCAGCAAAACGATGGAGGGGATCCTGCTAAGAGATTCCCACCTCACAGATTGATCCCAAGCCAACACACCTGGGAGCCAAAAAGTCCAGGCTCTTTCCTCCTGCCCAACGTGTGAAATTCCCATGGCTCCACCCAGTTCTCCCAGTGCACAGGCCGGTTGAAGAGTCCCCCATATCTGCCTTCTGCATCTATCATTAGCAAATACTTCCTTATACTAAAAAATGTCCCTTTTAATTTTTTCATGAAGTGTAGCAGTTTCAGTTTTTTCATTCATGCTGTTAATTGCACATTTTCTGTTCTGAAAATATTTTGTCCCTACAGAAAAGACAATTAAGCGGGAGTTAAAGAATTGACTTCTTTCTTCCTGTGTTAACTTGGTTTAAGTAAGTTTGGTGGGATGTCTTAACCTGTGTTACTCTCTGTGCTGGCTCCTGGGTGTACAAAGGTAACAATGATACAGGTTCTGCCTCATGGAGCTTAGGAACCCTAAGGGATTTTTAACATCATCCCATCTGCTGCAGTGCTGAGCCCTTCCCTTGCATTCCCTGTTTATTATCTTCCTTTGAACCTACCAGTCTCCTTTGACATTTCCTGTTCAGTTTTATTTCATTCTGGGCTTTAGCTCCCTTGCAGTATTCTCATCTTGGATTCTATATTATGTTTACTCTTGTTTGGTTGCATGCCTTCATTTCCCACAAAAACCTAGTTTTTTATTATTTTATTAAAGAATAAACTGCCTCGTTAGCCACATAAGATATTAAATACTCTGCTTTCTACCTTAGGTTCTTAGAATTTAATTTTGAGGCCTTTCAACTATCCTAAGGCCACTGTCCCTTTTAGAACCTCAAAGCATAAGATCTCCCTTTCTGAAGTCTACCTTTAACATTCAAATTCATGTCCAGGCTTTTCCTTCCATCCCATTCTCTTGGATAGATCAAATCTAATAGGTTCTACTTGACATTTTCAGTTTCTCTCTATTTAAATTTTTCTTTTTAATTTTTATGAATACATAATATACATATTTATGAAATACCTGTATTATTTTGATACAAGCATATACTGTAATAAATCTGTGTAATTGAGATACCCATTACCTCAAACATTTATCATTTCTTTGTGCTAGGAATATTTGAAATCTACTTTTCTGGTTATTTTGAAATATACAGTAAATTATTAACTATAGTCACTGTACTGTGCTGCTGAACACTAGGCCTTATTCCTTCTAACTGTATTTTTATACCCATTAACTATCTCCTCTTTATCCCCACCTCCCCATCACCCTTTCCAGCCTTTGGTAACCACTATTATACTCTCTACCTCTGTAAGATCATTTCTTTTTTATCTTCCACGAGTGAGAATGTGCAACGTTTTTCTTCCTGTGCGTGGCTTATTTCACATAACATAATGACCTCCAGTTTCATTCCTTTTGTTGATGGTATCCTACCATTTCTTGCCAAGGAGTCGCTAAGGAGGAATCTAAGTCATCGAGAGGAGCCTTTTCCTCATTGATTAATCCTCTCACCCCGCCCCCATCCATATACACAGCCCTCAAATTAGCATCTTTTCTGTGCAAAAATCAGAGAGGAAGATACAATTCCTCACAGTCACTTCTCTGCTCAACCTTAAAAATGGTATTACTGTTTTCCAGATCTCAAAACAATCATTAATCCTCACACGAATTCATTCAGACATCCATTTTGAGTATGAATAATCCTCTGGTAATATTTTAAGTGATTACAGAACAAATCCTTTCGGTAGCAAAAGTATATCTCAAATGTCAGTCTACTAAAGTGAAAGGTAACTATTCCCCACAAGAAACATGGTTGAAATGCCCATTTTGTGCACAGCCCTGGTTTCGATCTTGTGGCAGGAGATGGGTAAGACAGAGGCCCTGCAATTGAGGAGATCAAATTGCAACACAAGAGGGATCCCAAACAGCACTGTAAGAGAGCCAGTGGGCAGGAAGGAGACATTTGAGACCACAGGTGAACTTGCTTCCAAAACCATTCTTCCTTGACAAATGTTCATGTGTGTTCAGATTTCTTTTTAATCACAGCTAAATAAAAATTAGGCCACTATCATATAATCTGTATAGGTAATGATAAATTCAACCAGGGACCTATTTTCTTTTATTTTTAAAATTTTATTTTGAAACAGAGTCTCACTCTGTCAGCCAGGCTGGAGTGCAGTGGTATGATCTTGGCTCACTGCAACCCCTGCTCCCGGGTTCAAGTGATTCTCCTGCCTCAGCCTCCTGAGTAGCTGGGATTACGGATGCGCGCCACCACGCCCAGCTAATTGTATTTTTAGTAGAGACGGGGTTTCACCATGTTGGCCAGGCTGCTCTAACCCGAGACCTTTTTAAGCACGTATCCACGTTCAGAATACTTCTGAATTATCAGGAATTTAGAAAATTTTCACAAGTTTTAGCTGAGGTTTTACATTTATAGTAAGTCAAATGCAAATGTGAATTGCAATGGAAAACAAAATAGTATCTGTGATGGGTTGTTAATGGAAGTGGTTTCTTAAATTGTGTTCCAGAGTGATACTGAGATGCAAACACAGACACTCTATAAACTCCCTGCTGCCAGAGGCTGCCTCCACCAGGTTCAAAGATTCAGGACTAGACAGAGCTCACAGGAGGTGTTTGGGAAAGACTGTTGGCCAGACCTGGGCACTCAGAACCCTGGTCATCGTTATGACTGCTATCCCTCTAAAGAGAATTTCAGCTGAGGGAAGGGAAGCAGAGCACACAGTTGTTTCCTGCCTTTCAGAGCTCCTTAAGAATTCAAGGAGAAAGCAAGGGAGACCATGGACCTAGAATTGTTTGTGAATATTACAAGAAGCATTATTTAAGTCAAAGAACAAATCAACCACAGAAGTACAAAGGGCCAATATCACAGAACAAATTAACGATTTTGGCTGTTAGTCAAAGAGATGCAAAACAGAGTGACATGCTGCTTATGTACCTTTATGTGCAAATAACTTTAAAAGAGTGGCACATTGAGAAATAAATGTCTGACAGTAGGAGAATGATTATATGACAAGATGATGCCACAGCTTATGCTCTTGGGGAATATTTACTCAAAATATTTACACTGTAAGAATATTTATTCAAGGGCCAGGCGCGGTGGCTCAAGCCTGTAATCCCAGCACTTTGGGAGGCCGAGGCGGGTGGATCACGAGGTCAAGAGATCGAGACCATCCTGGTCAACATGGTGAAACCCCGTCTCTACTAAAAATACAAAAAATTAGCTGGGCATGGCGGCGCGTGCCTGTAGTCCCAGCTACTCAGGAGGCTGAGGCAGGAGAATTGCCTGAACCCAGGAGGTGGAGGTTGCGGTGAGCCGAGATCGCGCCATTGCACTCCAGCCTGGGTAACATGAGTGAAACTCCG